GGTGGAACGGCCCGCTAGGCCGTTAGTAACGGTATCGTTACAAGAAAAATTTCATAGCGTGACACAATGTTAGCGAGAAACCTTTATATTTATAATATATTATTTGTATCTACCCAAGAGTTGTGTGTTGCATCAAATCCCAGCCATTTCACATAAACCTTGTCATCCTTTTTGCGTATCACCTTTTCCACGAGATGTACGTCGGGATTAGCAACGCGTTGTAACTCGTATTCGTAAAATCCGCCGGCGATGGGATTTCCGCGCGAATCTTTGAGTACATAGGTCACGGGATTAGTTTTCTGCACTTTTACGATCTTAAACACTTCGGTCGACCAATTTGGCGTGTAACCTTTCTTAAAGATGGTCTTGACTTTACTCACGCGTACCGGGTCGCCTACTTTGAATCTTGCCGGTGCCGCAATCTTTACGTTGCTGTTTACGATATTTAAAAGTTTATCGGCGATCGCGGGGGTAACATCGATAGGTCTCATACCGATAGTGCGATGTTTTCGCGCATTGTACTCTCCAACGTGCCGGGACAAGGCGTCGATCCACTTGTAATTTCCATTAAGCGTAAACATTTTCCACGTATTGTTCTTTAACATTCGGTTGAATCGTTCCACGACCGAGGCTTTCATGACAGAGTACGTCGTTCGGGTAAAATAATTGTTTTTCTTCACGAGTTTCTGTACATTTGCGTTGTAAAATTCTTTTCCTCTGTCGGTTTGAAAATTTTTCGGGCATCTTCCATCGTCTCGAATTATCTTTGCGATCGTATCCGACATCTCGTTTCCACTCTTACTCTTGAGCGGTACAGCCCACGCATACTTGCTCAACACATCGATAACTGTGAGTATGTAGTTGTAGCCTCTGTTGAATCGTGCATATGGACACATCTCGACCACGTCCGCTTGCCACAGATCGTCGTATCCGCGTACTATGACACGGCTACGTGGGAAATTTTTTCTCGCAATTTAACACCGTAAACATAATCCATACTGTTATTTTTATCTTGATTCAAAATAGCTCCCACATATTTTTGTCCTAGTGGGCCCAAGTATGCGCACAATGTACTTTGACCCTCGGACGTTTGTAATAGATGTTGAACCGTCGTAACAAGCGTTTCAGGCGTGGTTTCGAAAATTTCTTGCACAGATGGGGATGGTCCTTCGTACAATATTTGACTCGATTGTACATCTTTTATCGGAGTAGAAGTAACTAACTTCGATAATTGTTTCATTCGCTTACGTTTTGATTGATTTGGAGTAGAAGTTATTAGCAAATCGTTCAATGATATATTTGACCTTGTTCGCTTTGTTCTATACTTTGACTCTTTTTTCGGATACTTGTCTTCGAGCATGCTCGATGGTTCGATTTTCGCTTCATTAGATTCCACATTGATTGTATTTTCGACAAGCTGTTTTAGAGGTTTGATAATTAGTTTAAAGTGCCTCTCCAATGCGACGTCTTCCTCCATTTGACCAGTTTTTAAAGAACAATATTTTTTGCGGATTGATTCGCTTGTTTTTACAATCTCTCTCGCAATCTTCTCACGATCGTCACTGTCAATCGTCGTCGTCATGTTGCGCTCGGACAAAAATTTTTAGACGTTGCTCGATCGATGTATCAATAGCGACTAACCACTTTACAGTATTGCAAAATCGTTAAATCCTTTTGGATATTGTCCATTAGTCTGTAAACAGTCTTTATCAATCACTACAAATCCATACTCGTGTTGCCAACATTTCTGACAGAATGCGCGAAAATCGTCGTAAGACATGTCAGTATTTACATGATCGTTGTATACATGGTTCAAGTTTGTACCATCTTGTTTAAATAAAATCAGTAAATTTGCATTGTCCCGTATAAGATGCTTGGGTATCTTGGCATACGTTTGACAAAGATAGAAACAATCGACGCTCGAGTGTCAACCCGTTGCAAAGAACTCTCTTATCGTATCTTGCTTATCGCATGCCACGACGTCAAAGATAAAAATGGAATTCGGAAGCATCTCGCTCGGTGGAATAACGTCACTATTATTAGAGAATGTAAAATAACCAATTTCATCGATCGATAATAGCAAATTTTCCAAGTATCGATATTTCGGTTGTTGAAGTGATTTCGAGTATACGTACACATTCTCGAAATGTACACCGTGTGGACTTTCTATCAAACTCATCAACACGTTAGTCTTACCGCAATTCGAAGGACCGCAAATGATACCGCGTATAGTAGTCGGCAGCATATTTCCATGCTTGCGTATTTCTTTCTCGGACATTACTCGTGTTTTATCGTCAAAATTTATCACTTTGATTATCGTCGCTTGTCGCGCGAACCGCATGTTTGCTCTCGCGAGTCTCAAATCAGATTTTGGAAAATGAGTCATCGGGGCCCTATTTATAGAGGTGCACCGAATCGAAACCGCTCAGTCTCAAAAATGTTTCTTCTTCTATCGGTTGACAGCGATATTCTCGCGCTTACCACCGAGCAGTTACAGGTTATACCCAAGCTTGTTTTACTGCGAGACTTCGGTAGCTATGTGGAACAATTGTGGGACAAGCTTCCCGAACATTTAAAAGCTGACTCTGAGGTTCAACAGTATCGTCGATGCACGCGACATTATAATTTGTCATGGCAGCAAACACATCTCGACTGTCCAACACCGTTAATAAAAAATTGTAGCAAATACCAGCAAAAATTGTAAGAGGTAGTGGTTTGTTAAATCGTGCGATAAACGCACTTCCTATCGAATTACATATTCTAGGCTATCAGTTTTGCGGACCAGGAACTCATTTAGAAACACGATTGGCTAGAGGCGATCGGGATATCAATCCATTGGATGCCGCGTATCGCGAGCACGACATAACTTATTCCCGAAGCAACGATCTCGGTCAACGACACGTTGCGGATAATATACTCGCCACGAAAGCGCGAACGCGTATTACCGCGAGAGATTCAACTCTTGGCGAAAGAGCAGCCGCTACAGCTGTTTGGGCGGCTATGAAAGCAAAGACAAAATACGGTATGGGGATGAAAACAAAAAAATCGTCGATGCAGACAAAAAATTCGTTGATGAAGAAAAAGACTAACTTGCAAGACGTATGCGTATACCATTTTTTAGAGGCTTTTTCATGCGCAATAATTTACCGATAAACGGTATACGGCGAAATGAGAGCGGTATCGTCAATTTGGATGACGTTGATGGTTTCGGTACTCATTGGGTTGCGTATGCAAAGAGGGGAGATCGTGTAGTATATTTCGATAGTTTTGGAAATCTTCGACCGCCGAAGGAATTATTGCACTACTTTGGTCAGAATGTTGCGAATATAGAATACAATTACACGGCCTATCAAAATTATAATCAAAGTATTTGTGGACAATTGTGTCTTCGATTTCTTCAAACGGTCGATGATCGATATGAATTTAAAGCCTGACAATCCACCGCGCGACTCAGTATTCGTTCGACAGTTTTCCAGCATGTCACTCACACTTACGTTGACCGGCAAGAGTAGCGCTCTTGCTGTAAGCTACTTTCCGGCTATAGATTTAAACGATGGCGATTATGAGCTTGGATTAACGGACTTTGAAACTTATCATACGATATCGAACGTGAATTCTTGAAATAATAAATTTTATTTTGATAACGACGATAAGGAAATTACGATTCCCGCTATAAACGAATATCTCCGACGTGCAATTTTACGACATCAACGCGAAGTTAATTCCAACGGTATTGTTGATGACGAAGAACACGATGAATATCCAATAATGCATCGCGCTAATCATAATACGCTGAAAAATGAAATCAAAAGTGTCTATAGAATCAATTTTAGTAAACCGGGCAATGTTGGATCGTTGTTGAGATTCTCATCGAATCGTTTATTATAGCCTCGGAAATGGCACGAATCGGATGTACCGATAAATATTATTAGCGTAAATATTATTCGTATAGAATGCAGCGTAACCACTGGCGCGTACAGCAATGACAAGCGCGTACACACGATACATGAATTTTCACCGAGCGTACCGCCAGGATATAAGATATCGGAAACGCCAGCACAGATCATTTATCTACCGATCGTCGCACGAAGCATTACTGATTTAACGATACGCATTGTTAATCAAGAAGGACATTTGCTCGATTTTCGAGGAAAGGAAATTACCGTAAGATTGCATATACGGCGGCTGCAAAAATAAAGCGTTTGACAAATGAAATGTTTGTGTTGAGCGGAAGCACGGAGCACGCGAGAGACAATATCTTTGCGAGGAACAATATTTTTGCGAGAAGGCAAGTGACTGCGGTATCGGGTGACAATAATCAGACATCTGGTTACGATTTCGGTCCTCTCGCGGTTATCCATTGCTTGCGACAAAACGAGTCTGTCAAAAATTCCACCGTGGACGTGAGATTAGAGTTTGAGTGCAAGGAGGATATACCGGCAAATACTACCGCTTATTGTCTCGTCTTGCACGATCGCGTTGTCGAATATTGCCTATTGACCAACGTAGTTCGTAAAATTACCTAAATCAGCAAATATCCCCTCCAATGTCAAAATATATAAAGATTGAGATTTTGACGATCGACAGCAGTCGTACTTCATTTTTGCAATCGTACGGTAATATTATCAGCATGATCGCGCCAACGTTTGTGATCTGCAAGGATTCATTATCGGGCGAAACTTTATTGTGAAGGAAGTAGCAATATTGAGAAATGGATTTGTTCTCTCTCATTACTTTTTTGCAAGTCCCGTACCATGGCGTGCGCTTACAAAATCTGAGAGATGTCGAGCTTCATGGCTAATCAGACATCACCATGGACTGCAATGGGAGGATGGAAACGTTCCATACAGCTTCGCTAAGCGTTTGATTACGAGAGCTGTGATGGGCGCGACGGAAGAGGAAGATGGAGCATCTCCTATCGTGTACGTTAAAGGACACGAAAAACGAGAATGGCTGGCCAATATACTTGACGATGATGCGAGAAACGACGTTATTATTGAGACCTTGGATGCGGGCTATGAAGATATCACTTCGTTAAATAAGCTAGATGTTACTAATACTATGCGGTGTGAAAAACATTTGAAAAATTAAAGCCGTTCAATAGCCATTCGGTAGCCGTTTCAAAACCGTTCAAAGCCGTTCGATAGCCGTTCAATAGCCGTTCGATAGTCGTTCGATAGCCGTTTAAAGCCGTTCGATAGCCGTTCGATAGCTGTTCAAAACCGTTCGATAGCCGTTCGAAGCTGTTTTTATATTATAATAATCCGTTATTCATATTAAAATACTCCATTATTCATAGTTAAAAGACTTTTAGATAGTTGTCCGCGGAAACGTGCTTACTTTTGTCTTCTTATCATGTGTGGAAGGTAAGCGTTCTTTGTAAGTGATACATCCCCTACTCTAAAATATTTAATCGAGACAATGTCTATCCCGATGTGTCCGTCACAAAGTGTTTGACAACGAGTGAAGTACGTTTAAAAAGAAGTAAAGAGTGAATAAAAATGCCAATGTTTCGCAATAATCTGGTAAATAGTGTTCAGTATTTTCGTATGCAAGATTATGTATTTATATATGTATGTATGTATATATATATATATATATATATATTAAATATTATATTTCAGTTCGTGCAAATAGATGTGATCCACCGCCGATACATGCGGTGGATGCGCGGAGAAGGCGCACGCAATATATTAAATATTATATTTCAGTTCGTGCAAATAGATGTGATCCACCGCCGATACATGCGGTGGATGCGCGGAGAAATACGGTGGGCGCACGCAAGCTTGTGGGGCGACACCCGCGAAGCCCGCGAGTGGGCGAACGTGCACCCAGCGCAGTACGAGGACATATTTTATTTGAGACCGCTTTTTGGACTCGAGCCATATGAAAAGGA